CTATTTAAGAATATGAATTCATAATTTTGATGAGTCTATATATCATCATGAATCATCAAGTGTTAGCCGTAACACATTTAAGCGCATTTTTTGAATTTTCTATGGGGGAGTATATGGGGGAGGGTTTGTTCCCGACGGCAATATCTCGAAAATTTCAACATAAAATTTTTTCTTGATATTACATTCCTATTCTACTTTTTTATGATCTACACGATGGGCATAGTCAAATAGGGTGTACCAAAAAAAACGTTCGCTGTCCAAGTGAATTGTATAGATTACTCGGAATAAATAATTATGTATTGTGATGTTTTCTAAAAACAACAAGTAGTGAAATAATTGATAGTTAACTAGTTAAAATAATTTACTTACTTATTTTCATATATAATAGTCTTAAAAATAATGGGCGATATAATGAGTCCCCAAATAAAAATTGGCTTTTTTGTGTTATAAATCTTATAGTAATTATTTTAATCATGTTGCAGTTTGTACTATATATGTTTTTTCCCATATGCTCCAAGCGAGTGAGATTTTAATTATTTAATTGTCATAGTTTTATCAATCATATTCGAATATATTTAGTACTATTTATGAAGTTAATTGCGTTTATAATACATTATTTTTAAATTTACGATGATAGGTTATCATTGATAGTTCACAAAATAATTATAAAAATATAATAAAAATTAGATTCATTTTTACAAATATATTAATAATAATATTGTTAATTAATTATATCATATTTAACATTATCCATGTTTTTATAGATCAATGTTGGAGAGAGAGAGAGAGAGGTTAACTCAGAGCACGTGTATGTCTATGGGGCCGGACTGTACAGCTTTTTCCAGAACTATGGCCAGACATGTCTGGACACCGAGTCGTGTCAGGACAGTATGGTATCCATCGAGAAGTCACCAAAAAATGTGTTTATTTATAATTTGAATACAAAAGCGTCGGTGAATATGGTTGTAGTGGACGGACAGTCGCGTATCAAAGAAACAGACAATAGGGCTGTCGACGCATTTCAACTATAATCAAATTTCCCGATTATCCCAATTAAAATGATCGCAATTATGTTTAATATTGCTTTAATTAACACGTTTTATTCTATTGGAATAAAAATTATTTGATCATAGTAGTCATTTTTACATTTTTAAAAATTTTATAACTAATTAAATAGTCACAATAAAACTGTAAACTATTTATATTGTCGCATTGTAATTTTACTAACTTATACATTTATATGTAATATGGGACCGAAAATCCCGAACAAAATCAATTACAACTATGTTAATATTGTTTTAATTAACACATTTAATTGTGTTGAACTAAAATTATTTGATCATAGTAATCATTTTTTACATTTTTAAAAATTTTATAACTAACACAAAAACTGTAATTAATTATACAGAAAATATATTGCTTAAATATTTGATTTATTTAAATATAATCTTAAGTATATTTCATGTGGTTGATCTATTCATAGATTTCTACGCAATTAATATGTGCTTAATGTAAAGTACTGTAAATGTATCTTTGCATTAAAGTGCAAATAATAATGTAATAATTAAATAAATTCATATATGAAATATATTTTTCAAATCTCTGCTTTCACAAACAATTCATAAATATGCTTAAAATTTATACCATCACGTATTTTTTTGTTTAATAATTTATTATTAATATTGCCAATAACATTACGACATAATACTACTTGATAAATTAACTTTTTTATGAAGACATTAATAATTTTATAATTATATTAATTATTAATTCAAGAATTATAATAAATAACAATAATTTTATTAGTAATGTTTAATTTGTATTCGCCTAACTTCACAATAATATGATAATATAATAGCTCTATACATAAATTATTGTGTTTTATCATTAATAATTGTTTAAGATTGTCAAGTAAAATCATTGTTACATATAATTAATAAATAATAATATTTATATTATAATTATATTTATAATAAAGAATTTTTAATTTTTAAAAAAAGATTCATAAGAGTTAATTTGTAAAAATTTTACAATATTTAAAAAATACAGGTAAAGCTAATAATTTGAGCTTATTGCATTATTTACGGCTAAACATAATTTTAAATGGTTTGGGAAACTGTAGCCAAACATTGACCGCATGGGGCTCGAGCTGATTAAGATTGTTTTCACGACCATGCTCGTTATAAAGTTCAATGCGATAATCGTTAGTCAACTGTAGTAATCTAACCAGGACCAAAAATATGTCATTGATAGCCAACGTTTCGCCCGGACATATACGACGACCGTAACTGAACGGTATATAAGCCGCGGGTTTTGTACGTATAAATTCACCACCATTATCCAGAAATCTTTCTGGCTCAAATACGTCCGCATTTTCCCAGTGCTTTGGATCGGTCAGAATGGAGTACTGATTCAATACGATCTTGGTGTTTTCAGGTATAGAGTGACCAGCTAAAATTAAAATGCAATTTTTTGAATAGGGTATAAAAATCAATATAATTTATATGAATAATTCAAACCCAATTTGGTGTTAACCATAGTCTTATGAAATAGTCCTATTGGTAGGGGATTTCTGTGCCGTAATATTTCCGATATAAAGGCCATCGTGTAGTTTAAGCGGCACTTGTCGTCTACTACCGGCACCCGATCGCCAATCTCTCGGCTAATCTCTGCGCGCAACTTATCCTGGTAATTCGGATAATAGGCCAAATACAACAGTATCCATTGAAATGTTGTCTGACTTGTTTCAGTGCCAGCTGTTTGTGTTATTGATTTAAATAATTACGGTACAAAACATTGATTAATATAAAACTAAAATACAATTTATCTTTACGTGTAAATTAATCTGCAATTTATCTACTTCTAAATCTAAAATTGTGCCTAAATTGCAAACATACTAATTATAAATACCTGTAAACATATCAATCAAGACGGCGGGCAGGTTATCATCGGTAAAATAGGGTGCCGTCCGTTTGTCGTCGGCAATGGCGTCGTGTTTGGCGGCGATAAGTATATCGCAAAAGTCCCTCAAATTGTTCCCATCATATGTTTGGTCGTGTTTTTGGTATATATTTCGCGTATAATCCATGAGATGATCAAAATGTTGCTTATATTTGATCAAAGGGTTGGCCATAAAATAGCGCAACACAGGTATAAACTCGTATAGAAATAGTGTGTTACCAAGATCAGTTTGAAAGTCAGACGTGATGTATTTCAACATTTTCAATTCAGCCTGTTCACTATCCAATCTATGGTTAATACACAATAATTGTAATATTAATTGCTACATCATCTTGTTAAAAATATAACTACACTGTATGTTACTGTACAGTTTAATTATTATGAATTAAAGTAATTTACTTTTCGCTAAACACGATTGAGGCTAAAATATTTGCGAACACATCATACACGTAGTCGTGCGACGAAAACGGTCGATCCATACCCTCATTATCAGCTATAATCCGTCGGACCATTTGACACACATTATGGTCCACCAATTCAGACAAGGCCTTTGATTTTGCGTACTTTCTGTTAATTTTATCATGTATTACTTTTCACAATTATTTTACAAATAGTAAATAATCAGTTAATTGTTTTGAAAATTTTTATTATTAAAAATTTCATTATCATATTAAAAGTTTTTGCTAAAAAGCGAATATAAAGTACATTGTATACGCGTATACATAAGTGTATATGCATTAATTGTTATTTATTAAGTTTTGATTTGTATTATAAGGTAATATTTAAAATAATTCATATAAAAATAGTAATGCACAATTTTGTTAGTAGTTTTTAATTAGTAGGGGTAGGACTTGCATTTTTTATATACATTGCAACATAAAGTTGTACATAGGATTTTACCTTGTATGCATAACTAACGGACACAAACCTATTATCAATTTTGATGTAAACTTTATATACAAAATTACACTTTATTAGATACTTTTTTCCACTAAAGTCCCACTAAAGTCCTATCCATATTAATTAGTAGTTCTTGCTATAGAGTGAATATAAAGGCTTTACAGTGTATACGCGTATATATGGATTAATTGTCATTTATTAAGTTTTGCTTCGTATTATAAGATAATAATGGTAGTAAATTATATTAAAATAGTAATGCCATGCACAAATTTGTTTATTATTGAAAATGCTTACTGTATGGTTGTATGCGATACTCGGCGTAGACTTTCCCAACACTTACTGTAATCGTCGTAAATAACGTCTTTATGTTTCGCATTACAATATATGCTACCTTTAATAAAAAATAAAATGTACACTTAAAGTTGTCTAATTTCACATAATTGGGACCGTAGTTTTCGTTGTGTGAAATTACAGAATGTGAAATTATAGATAAAAATGTTGCATCACTTTTTTCAATTGACTATACCTATAATAATACGGTTTTTTATAATAAACTAAAAATAATAGTCGACAACGAGTTATTTCAGTGATTACAAGCAAACATTAAGGCATTTTGTTAGAAATATATATTTTCATAATTTACAACTAACTTTTATACCCATAAATATATTCTCGCAGGGATGGAAATTTAAGTAAATGCGGGTATTGGATGGTAATACACTTTATGCACTATTTATAATCATCTTTATGCATAAAAATATGTTGTTAGCAAATAATGAGAGAGGTAGATTGTTTATATTTAGTAAATTTAGTTGTCTTAATAAAAATTTTATTTAAAATGATGTGAAAAATTAGTTTTCATATTCTCAATAGCTCTCTAAATAATTTGTTAAATAACTCACTCGGTGTCACTCATTTGGTGAAAATATTAATAAATAAATGTAATGGCATATGTGATTAATGTTTGGACTGTTATCATAATACACCAAAAATATTGCCTAAATAAAAACTAATTTTAATAACATTTTTGTGAAACTATACCCGAAATCCATTGAAATCATGAAAAATTGCTTGCATTAAAATGTGAAAATATAAGATGCTTCATATGCACACCAATGTTAACACATTCACATTTATGTGTGAAAGTGACATTATAGAGCTGTGAAATTGGCCCATATTAAAACATATACCCTAAGGTGGGGTTAGTAACATTGTGTGAATTTAGACAACTTGAGAAATAGTACAATGTGAAAATAAACGACTCTAAGTGTATTATCTTGTTTAATTATGTTTATAAGCAATAATATTTATTAATTTATATAAGTAATTTATCAATAATTGCAACTATTAGATTTTAAGCTACTATTAGTTTAATTATTGCCATTTAATTAGTAAACAGTTAATTAATTAATTACCTAATTGCGAAAGAGGGCGTCCGGTAAAATCAATCTTGTTAAACGACTCGCGAGCCATATTCAGGTCGCATATAAACACAAATGGTAATGGTCCGATCCATAGAGTAAACACTGGGCCATAGATCTTGCTCATTTTTGTAATTTCCACCGCAAAGTGCTTTGTGGAATTACGAAACACTAAAAATTATTTAATTAAATTACTTTAATTAAACGGTATTTATTAATTAACTTACTGAGTACGTTTCCAACTAGTGGCAATGGAAATGGACCAGGTGGGTAATTATAGCAATTGGTGTAGAAACGTGTTATATAATAAATGACTAGGCCAATTATTATACCGCTCGCGCCAATGCCTTTAATGAATTCTAAAATACTATATTTAAATCATAATTAAATTAATTAAATTTTGAATGAATGAAAATCAAGTTTATATCATAGATATTGTCTCCAATGTATGGAAAAAGTTCATTAAAAGAGTATTTTTATA